TCATGATCAGTGTGTGGCAAGTTTTCTGATTTCTGTATGTTGTTTTTGCATCCCACTACTTAATGCTTATCTGGTTTAAGGATTTTTTTTTTTTTGGTGAATTCTTGGAGATTTTTTAAGTATAGGATGGTGAGCTGCATATAGGGATCATTTCTCCCCCTCTTTCTAGCCCTTTTATCTCCTATCTTACGAATAGTAGTGTCCTAGAAGGTGCTCGCATTAGGAATTGGTCTAGTTTCCTTTTGTTGCTGTGATAAAACACTGACCAAAAGCAACTTGAAGAGGAAAGGGTTTGTTCAGCTTACATTTCAGGCCATAATCCATCATTGAGAGAGGTCAGGGCAGGAACTCAAGCAAAGCAGGAGCTTGCAGCGGGAACCGTGAAGGCATGCTGCTTGTTGTCCTGTGCACTGGCCTCTCACTGGTGTGTGGTCAGCTAGCTTCCTTTCACAGCCCAGGTCCACCTGCCTGGGGATGGCGCTGGCCACAGTGGGCTGGGCCCTGCCACATCAGTCAGCAGTCAAGACAGACAATCTGATCTGGGTAGTCTCTCGCTTGAGATCCCCTTAGATAGCCCTAGGCTGTGTCAAGGTGACAGCTGCTGCTAACTAGGACAGGACCTGAACTAGTCAAGTTTTTGTTTAGCACAATCCCTCAGACCATTTGGATCTCACACAACTTTTACTTGTTTAGAAATCCTGGTTACTACTTCCTCAAATGCTGACCTTTGTGGTATGTTTTAGTCATTCTCTAAATACTACTGACTTTTACAAGTCTTTAAACGTCAAGAAGCTATCAATCAATGGAGGACTAAAAATTATACTTTTCACTTAAATAATCAATTTTTAATCACTAGCAACAAATACTGTTTTTCTTAGGAATTAGAGTCACTATATTTTCATAAAGTGATCAATTCTAAAGTTTTTATTAGTGTATAATAACCACACAGATTCATTAGGAAGTTTTTATCCATATACACTATTATTATGTTTATCCAGGCCTGGTCCCCTCCTACCTCCACTTTCTCCCTTTCCCTTTTTAAATCTAGAATCTGCATGTGATTTTTTTAAAAGCCTTATTTGTCTAAGTCTTATTTATATCGTTTTGTTCCAGTCATTTTCCTTCAAACAGCATAGTTTCATTTTTTTGACTGACTAAAACTTGTATGTGTGTCTGTGTGTGTCAGGTTTTCTTTATCCTTTCATAGACCCTAGCATGGTTCCATGACTGGGCTATTGTGAGTAAGTGCCACAGTAAACATGGTGTACAGGTACCTCTGCTGTATGCTTTGAGTCTTTGTGTGTGAATTCAGAAGTGGTATATATGATCAGCAGTAATTCTGTCTTTTTGTTGTTGCTGTTGTTTAATTTGTATGCATGCCTGCGCATGTGTATACCAGAGGGCAGCATTGAAATTCTCCATCACTCTCAACCTTTTAAAAGAAAAAAAAAAAAAGACAATTTCTCACTGAGCCTTAAACTCACAGACTTTGCAGGCTGGCTGGCTAGTGCCCCCAGCCATCTCTGCTTCCTCCACAAGCACTGGCATTGCCACCATACACTGCTGTCCCCAGCTGCCCTGGTGCTGGGGATCCACTCAGTCCTCATGCTGAGCAGCAGGCACTTCCCTTGCGAATCCACCTCCCCAGCCTTTGTCCATAGTCTTCTGAAAACCTCCATACAGATTCCACGGCAGCTCTGCTCGTCTGTCTCCCCAGCACTGTGTCCTCACAGCATTTCTTGTTTATTTCCTTGCTGATAAATGGCCATCCCTCCCAGGGTGAGATATCTTACTGCTCAGTTCACCAAATATCCAAATCTTAACATCAATTTTTTTCACATAAAAATTATACTCCCATGAGAAAATCCTTTTGGCTTCTGCCTGCCGTATTTTGGGTATCCATTAGCTTTGCTGCCCAGTACAGCCTTTTTCAGTGTGCCTCCCATTAAAGTACCTCAAGGGGATTCTGATTGGCTCCTCTAGATGTCAGTCAGCATAGCCATGGAAGGCACGGAAGGGGATCACAAAGCATGAGCACCACATTGACTCTTTGGGTAGAGGAAGTGTCAGGCCTGGCAGATAGCCAGAGCGCTGTGTCCAGTATGGACACCACCCTGAGTTAGGGTGACTAGAAGAGGACGGTAGCTGGCGTGAGTATTTAAAGCTGTAGCCTCCGCAGCTGATCCACAAGCCCCCGTTTGACAGTGCCTTATTTAAAAATAGGTGTGCTCCTGAAGTGCTCGCACTGGGGCCGTCACCTCTCAGTGCATTGGCACTCCTCTGAAACCTCTGCTGGATCTGCTTCACAGTAGCCTTTAGTGTGGACTTCCTGTCGCATAGACATAGGATTTATTGCCTTTCACATTATATTAATAAAATATACTTTTAAAGGTTTCTTTGGTTGAATAATAATTTTTTTATTATTTGGGCATCTTTCTCCCTCTGAAAGAAGAGAGAGTCCTCCAAAGTATATGTGAGTATAATCATGTCTAGTATTTTTATTTATTAATAAATAAATCAATTACCAGGCATTGTATTTTTCAGATTCACAGGTTGTAAATATGATTTAAAAAATAAAGATCACTAGCTTCCCTGTTTGGGGCAGGGGCAGAGAAAGTTAAGAAGTCTCTCCCTGCCCTCTGCGGATGACCTTCTCTCCTTGTGAAGGTCCTGTAGTGACTTGATTGGCTTTGGGTAAGCGGGAACATGCCACATGCATGTGTGTTGCTTGAGTTATCTATGAAGTAACTCAAGCTGCTTTAGGGGAAAATATGTGGGGTCTGATTTCCCTTTTTTATCCATCCCTTGAGAACTAAAAGTTAATATTTTTAGGTTAATGAGATGGAAAACAAAAAATAGCATCTCGTTGGGGAAATATAATCTGACACAATTTAAAGTAGAATCTCAGTTTAAATGCAATTCTTGGGTCTACAAGAGGACTCAGTGGATAAAGTTACTTGCCACCAAGTCTGAGGACCTGAGTCTTGAACCCAGATCCACATGATAGGAGAGAACCTACTCCTGTCAGTTGTCATCTGACCTTCATGTGTGCACTGTAGTGAGCACACACAAACACACACACACACACACACTAAAAAAAATAAAATACAAGACTAAATTAAAATTTAATTTTTATGAAACAGGAATATTTAATTTTGCCACATCTATGCTGTATAATGTTAAAAGAGAATTAGACTTTGTTTCATCTTGTATTCTTTCTTCAGAAGCACAAAGCAGAGACTAGGCACACTGATGCTGTTAGCTTTTGTAACTTGTTATGCCATGTATACCAAGTAACTAAAGTATTTCGGTTACCTGTGTGCACCCATGTGTACCAGCAGTAGACATGTCCTTGAGGGGCACAACATGCACACTGCTGCAGAGAGTAGACAGTTTACTTTGGTTTTGTTTTGTTTGGCTTTTGTTTTTGAGACAGGGTTGTTTCTCTGTGTAGCCCTGGCTGTCCTGGAACACAGAGATCCACCTGTCTCTGCCTCCTAAGTGCGAGGATCAAAGGCAGGCACCACCACACCCCACTGACAAAAGTTTACTCTTCAGGGTTTTCTTTGTTGTTGTTGTTGTTACAACAGAATGCCAAGAAATTGCCTTTAACTTTTTGCTAGATAAAAAGCAAAGCCTCTGACGCTGTCTTGCTAAGTATTGCTGCTGCCATAATGCTGATGCTGACTCAAACCTCAGAAAAATAGTGCTGTGCCCCAGAAGTGTGGATAGCTCCCCTCGTTAGTGTCCTAGCTCATCTAAGGCTTGTTTTATTTGCTTTTTTACAGACCTAACTACCGTAATGAATGCTGCATATTGAGAGAAACCACAAGAAGGTTAAATGTTTGATTGTCTAATTCTTGGATTTGCTATGAACCAACACATAGTCTTTGTTGTCACTGACAGAACCCACCCAGTGTGTGTGCATAGTCACATTCCTCTCTGGTCTGAAGGAAAAAAAAGACACTTTGACCTTTTTTAAGGTTATTGACTTAATTTTATGTTATTCGGTTGCATGAAGTTTCCCTTAACCACTAAGAATTATCAAGATTTTTGCACAGACTTTTCCATGTCTAAGCTCCTTTTCCAAGGCAGTTTTGATCATCAGCTGCCTGCCTCTACCCCACCACCATCAAATACTCAGTTAAATAGTAATTCATATTTTTAGATGACTACTCAGCATAATACTTAAGGATGGGATTTTCTTCCTAACAGAACCCAAGAGCTAACTCCTAGATACATACTGTTTGTATATTGGAGTGGAGTTAAAGTCATCTCTCAGTCTGAAGGCCATGTGTAAACTTTAACCATACTGTACAGTTCCTGTCCTGTATTAGAAGTAGATAGTTGAAACTCACGCTTCTCAACTCATGTTGCTGTGTGCACAACCTGAGTCTGTATGTGAACCTAGTGAGTCTTTTGTGTTATACCCAAATAAAGCAAGGATTTATTTTTCCCAATGCCAATATGATTTGAGCTAATCAATCAAGGTAATGACTGACTTTACACTTGACAGCTGAAATCAGCAAGAGCACTGTGGGAAACAGACAAAACATTGACTCTTGATGCAGACTTTAACATAGACTTTTCTTTTGGAACTAGAATTAGAGTAGTTAACTTTCATCCACAAATGATTATTATGTGTACATTATTGTCGCTATTGTGATAATAGAGAGTCTTATTTATTTTTATGCCAGCTTATACTGTGAGAACACATTAGTCAGTTTGGGTTTCATCCGCTCTGTTATGCTTGTCCTTGGAACATCTTCCGTGTATGTTTGAGGTTTGTAGCTCAAAAGTTTACTGTAAAAAAAATCAAAAACAACAAAAAAATGTATTGTTTTACAGAATAAATTTATTGGAATGTATACTGGGAGTAAGGTTTGAGGTTGTAAACAACTGAGTGTTGTTTGGCTTCATACGTGTAATGTGAAGTATTGATGTAATTCCTCTATTAAAGCAAAGATTGACAGCAAATTGACATAAGAATTAAGTGTAGGTGAGGATTTTATTTTCTATCTTTTTCTTTTTAACTATTCTGGATGTTAGGTTAATTGAAAACACTGGGAGGGACAGGAGGGAACGACAGTGTGACCTGCCTGCACGTCTAAGAGCACAGCAGCTCCGTGGACCCTGGTTTATACACAGCCTTATGTGCATCCCACTTTCTTTTGGTTTCTTATTTTGTTGAAGAAGAAACGAACATGAAGACAAAATATACGAAGATCTAAAAGCCAGTGTCGTGATGATGAAGGTGATGCTGGGCTGTGGGAGTTGCCCCTTCAGGGCATACTGAGGAGGCTACTGTGCTTTTGGCTTGTTTCTCTGTTGTTCACACACAGTTCCAAATACCAAAAGTTCATTAAGAGACAGGGTGCCACATCAGGTTTTAACTTTAAAAGGTACTTTTTAATTTCAAATATTTTATGTTAAAATTAGTGAAATTCGCCAGAAGACTTCTTCATTGATCACACTAAAACATATGAAGAATATGGATAACATTTTAAAATGGAACATATAACAGATTTCTTAAATAAAAAGTTCAAAATTTGTCATGAAATGTATACATCAAATGCTTCAAATTTAATAAAGTTTGTCTTCATAAAACAACAAAAATAATTTTGTTGAAAGTATACACAGAAGAGAAATATTACCAGCCACCAGTAAAACAAGTATGCATTAAAGCTACTAATAAGGTTGATTTGTGTCATCTTAGCTATTTAGATTCACAGTGGAAGTTTGGATATCAACTTTTTAAAACAACAGCAATGTACTTTCCTTATGAAGACACTTCAAACAACTTAAGAATATTATGCTGATCTGGCGTTTATATTAAGGTTGTCAATGAGTCGTACATTTCATGTGAAGAAGTTATTTCTCCAACCTGTATTTGCTGTTTTGAGTTTCTTCATATGCATAGTGAATATGGTTAGTCACTCCTGAATAGTTTGATTCTGTGCTGTTTGTAGGCACCGGAGTTGTAACTGTCACACAGTATGTGCACTGTTAAGATCCATGGTCACATTCACAAACAGATTGTGACATATTTCTTCAGTTTCCCTTCAACCAAGAGAATATACCATACACATGCCATTATTCCCACTCACACCCACACCGCAGAGCACGAGTCTGATTCTCAAGTTATCATGGACGGGAATGAAGTACAGCATCCGTTCCATCTAACAGGACCAGAGATAACGTGAGGTATATTCATTCCACCTTCTCATCTGCCTTGGTTCTCATGAAGAACTCGGGACTGTAGGTGCAGCGGTAGGCCAAGAGCTGAGGAAGAACGCCGTATGCTATGTTTAATGCTAAAAACAGGACTTTGGCTTCTTCGGGGACTCTGTAGACATAAGCAGTTCTAGCGTGGAGAGATGCACCGATGTGGGAAAACTGCGCCTGTTCGCATCAAAACAAGAGTAGCCTGAGACCTGACTCTTGGATTAGTGATGAATTCTGGGTGACTCCCTCAGACCACGTCCCCTCAAAACCTGCCTTACAAGCAAAATACCTGTAGATAACCCACAGTCTCAATACATAGCCTTTCACCTAAAGGTCATTCTTGATATAGCTATTAAATAATGCCTCCTATTTCAAGTGTGGTTTTATCGTTCCAGGGTTTTGTTTTGTTTTTTAACCTATCTAGTGCCCAATACCAAACATTTCTAATTTGAATTCTAGGAATACTACATAGACACTCAGCTAACTCATAAATTGGGTTCCAATTAAAAATGAAGTTGAGCTTCAAAGCTAAACTGCAGTTAGTATAACGAGCTACGTACAGAGCACTGAGGATCTCCGTTCCAGTGATGAGACTGAGAGCTGAAGCAAGTTCTCAGAGCCCCATCAACATGTCGTCTTGTTTAATCATGTATTTAGTTTTGCACAACTTAATAGCACTGTGGTTGTTTGTAAGATACACTTGTTAATAGCTTGGCTGTCGATAGCAGTATGATTATAAAATGACAAAACATACACAGGCAACCTTTTTAAACCGGACAGAAATCTACTCAGAATTGTGAGTGGCCAGCATAATCCAAGTTTCAGAACAGAAAGGCAAGACCTCCCTCTGTTTTATATACACAGACTCTATCCAGAATGTGCCTGCCTGCTGAGTTTTGCTTGACTTGTTTGTTTTTAGTACTTTTCATAAGCACAGAGAAAAACTATTAGAAAAGTAATACAGGCCATAGCAGGATTAAAAAAATCAAGAAAATATTTTCTCAGAAAACTTGTGTTAAAATAAAATACAAACCCAAGTCTGCATTTTTATGTTTGGCTGAAATTCAAGGTACACATGAATAAAGACTGAAGATTTAAATGTAAGTCATAGTGAAAAGGTGGAGGGTGCTGTAAAGAACGGTTCCCTAGAGAATGGTTTTAATGTGTGTGCTACCTTAATTTCCTACACTGACTGTGCTGTGGGTTAGCAGATAAAAGTGCTACTTAGCATTCGATTTGACCTTGACAAGAAAAGGGCAAGCTTTTATAAAAAGCATGTTTGGCAATTTGTATCAATGGCAGATATTTTAATGGGCTACAATTTATAAATTACTGATATATTCTGGATACCTCTAATACGATTTTGCTACTCTGGAGATAAAAATTAAATTCCTTTGGTGTGTTGACAAGGACCAACAAGTGGATTCCCTGCATTGTGATCCACAGGCACTGAGGGGCTCTGCCCTCAGACACACCTCCCTAGGGCAGATGGCCAAAGGCCCAGCAAATGTTTGCATTACAGGGCTACACAGACAAGAGACCTTGAGTAAAGGGCACTTTGGAGGCTGCCTTGCGGAGCTGTGGTTGTGAACAGTCTGGGAACTCTAAACAAAACCTTGGTTCCTGACGCTTTTTCTCTGGGCCCTACTTTAAATAGCTGTTGATCTGAATATATAACCGTTTTCTTCTGGACTAAAGGCCAGTTTTGAACTCTGGTTTTGTCAGATTTGTGGGCTTAGTGATTCTATCCCTATAGATTATTGTGTACATCATAGAACGACCAGAAAAATGGCACCCATGGTTTTGTGCACTTGTGTGGGCAAGCCTGCCCGAAAGGTCGGTGAGTCGGTGGGCCCTTCCTGCACTACACAGTGCGGATAATACCTCATTCTCATGCACAGTGAGCTCATGGCAACCTTAGAAAGTGACTTCTGTCTTTAGATTAGACTGTACGCCCATTGGGCAGATACTGTGATGTTTTCTGTGGCACCCATCACATTGTTAGAGTTCAATAAACATTCAACAACAATGGTCTTGTGATTGTCAGCTACGAAAAGAACCTTTAAAGCATTTCTCTATACCTACAGTGGTAGGCATTCTCAGCGTTATTACCAAGGGTGAAGACTGTAAGACTCCTTACCAAAAGGTGTGTGCGTGTGGGAAAAGAGCCTGGAGGCCAGTTGTCCACAGCTCCTGGTACTGAACAAGGTGTGTTTGTGGCAGCCAGCTGGGCGGGCCCCAAACAGTAGCCTCCTCTAGTGTTAAGTGCTCAGGATTCTGATACCGGAAAAGCTGTTTGACTGAAGAGGGTTTCTGTCACAGCCATGCTGGTAAGGAGTGCCCAGCACACATGATCTGTGGATCTCAGCCTGGGGATGGCACCAGAGCCCAGTGAGGTGCTACTGAATTCTGCATTTCGGTTATAGCGGCAGTATCCAGTGATCTGGCCAACACCCAAGTCAGTTCCCTTTGACTTAATTCCAAGTTTTCTACCTTGCGTAAATAAGAGATACTGGGTTTTTGTTGTTGTTGTTGTTGTTGTTGGTTTTCATTTTTGTTTGTTTTTGTCAGATTGAATGTTTAGAATGTAAAATGAGCCAGGCAGTGGTGGCACATGCCTTTAATCCCAGCACTCAGGAGGCAGAGGCAGGTGGATCTCTGTGAGTTCAAGGCCAGCCTGGTCTACAAGAGCTAGTTCCAGGACAGGCTCCAAAGCTACAGAGAAACCCTGTCAAAAAAAGAAAAAAGAAAAAGAAGAAAGGTAAAATGAGGTAATGAAAGTCAGCAAAGACTACATTGCGATAGCTCCTATTCCTGATAGAGAAAATTGGGAAAGGGTGACCCTAATCCCTCTCCTCCATGATCACAGCCCTGGCTCCTGAATGTTAGCGGCCAAAGCCTCTAGGCAGCAGACCCGATAATATAAGTAGATGATCCAGAACCTTAGGGTTTTCTGAGTAACCACATAGGTGCTGATAATACTGACTCCAGAAACACATGGCCAGATTGGATTCTTTATCTAACACAAGCTCAGTTACAGGGCCCACCTCAGGTGCAGTGTGGTGGATACAAAACTCGACTAAATACCTGCTCATGATCTGGCACCCTGTTGACAATTGACCTTTTAATTCCTTCTCTGTCAAAGCAGAAGCAAGAAAGTGAACCCCAAGTCAAAGGTGCTTAGTAATAAAGTACCAGATATGGATGGCAGAAATGTTTGTATCTGAAGGAAAAATGCCATGAAACTTAGTTCCCGGAAAGTCAGCGCTTTTCAACTAGACTGTCCACAGATGTATCTCCCGATCCCTGTACGGCCAGGAGTGGAGGAGGCAGTGAGCTGGAGAGATGTCACCAGACTCGGTGCCCCCCTCCGATGGATGTGGGGTTACATAATTCCCACTAGGTATCTGTCCCTAAGCCTTTGCCCAGGTTGTTTTTATTTTGGGAGTGTCATTATATGTGAGACACACGATGGCTAAATTGTCAAAGAATCACAGTAAGAAGGCATTTTTCTCTAAATCCTTTCTGAGACTATACCAATAATAATTATAAATGGGAGTCGGTAGCTTTTACATGTCAGGCACTATGCCTAGCTCTTTGGCACCTGTTTAATCTTAGCAACTTCACAGACAATTGGTGATCAAGAGAAGTAAAATATACCAGTATACGACAAGGGGCTCCAATCAGCCCTTGCTGTTAATCACATTGACTGCATCAACTCGGGCTTTTGTTTTGTTTCATTTTCAATGATTCTAACAATGTGCAGTCAGCTGTTGGCATCCAAGGAGGATTGGTTCCAGGACCTTGGGACATCCCATATATGTCAAAATCCTTGGATCCTCAAGTCCCTTTATGTACATCTTTCTGCATGTCTTCCTTTAGATGACTTGCAGTACCACACAGTGTAAATGCAGTGTAAGCCGTTGTGCTGTGTCTTTTAGGGAACAAGAAAAGTCTCCTCTTTGTTCAGTACTGATAACCATCATAGCCTCAACACGGGTCTCCTAAACTGGTTAACCTGCACATAACAAAGAACTGACTGTACTCCAGCTGACGGGAAACACCGACAGGGTCTGACATCCCTCCCAAGTTATACTGCAGCTCCAGACCTATAGCAGGCACTGCACATGCAGAGAGACTGTACTTCTAAGTCTCCCAGTGGAAACTGACCTAAAATATAGCCTGATTTTTATTTTTAAATGTCTAACTGAGCTTGTACTTTCTGAAGGCAACAGATTTGGGGGGTTCCTACCAGTCTGATATCAAGGACGCAATAATCACCCAGTGTGTCTTCCAATGACCTAAGAAAATTTGAAAAAAAAAATTGTGCCTATTCTGATCTCCATGGCACCAGGTCCACAAATGGTGTATAGATCCACAGACAGGCAAAACACCCATAGACATTAAGTAAGGTAAAAAGATTCCAGGTTTTTGGCTTGAGCTGACCAATAGAAGCTGAGGCTATTGCCACTGACCAAGTAAATGGGCAATAGGAGAAATGGGGAGAACCAAGAATCCTATTTTTAGTCTGACATGCTACCTGGGCATGGTAGGAGGTTGAAACAGGAGGATTTTGAGATTAAGGCTGTTCTGGGCTACAAAGCGAGACTCTCAAACAGGAAAATAGGTTTTCTTTTGTAGACTGACGCCTGCTTTGCAAATGTGTTTAAAAAGTCAAGTGTTCCTGTTTCCATTTCAGAGGTTTCTGAAAATGCCTCCAGAAATCGGATGTGCTAGTGAGCCATCCAGGTGAAGTGATAAGTTTGGAATTAAATTTAGGAGGCAGCAGTCAGGGCTGAAGAGACTGGTCACCAGCTTCCAGCTGACATCAAAAGATGGAGAAACAAAAGCCCACACTGAGGCACCGAGGATCGGGGATTCAGAGGTGGACAAAGAGCAGAGCAGCTAAGCATCTCCAGGAGTATTTCTTCAGCAGGTTTTATCTGCTTTTCTGTGATTATTCTAAGTATGCAAGGAAGGATTTAACCCAGTGACCCTGTAAGTACTGTATTTTTTTCAACAATACGAATTCTGGGGTCTTTCTGCCCTCCTGGTTACTGTCCCCTTGATTGTATAATCACTGTGCTTTGCTTCCCGGTGGGCCCCACTCTCACTTCCTGGTCAGTGTTGCTTTCATCCGGCAGGGACTTGGCAACGTGCCAGAGCGAGGGATGAAGGGCAGGCTCAGCGTTCTTGAAACAGAACTCACACTGAACCAGCCTCCCTGGTTCTGTTAAGGATTGTGTAGCAGAGCTCTGGACTCTGTTTAGACAGAACAGACAGCCTAAGCGTTAGAGCGTTCAGCTCTCATCAGTAGTCACGTTCATAGATCGGGAAACAGTCCCGTAACAGCAGTGCCCCTTGCTACTTCTGTGACCCCGGGGCACCCTGGTTTTACTAGAGGACCACATCTACCAGGTGGCATCATTAGAGTGAGAGAGAGAGTGTGTGTGTGTAGCAGAAATGTCTTCCAGTGAACTAGAAAACGATTCCAATTCAAACACTGAGCGGAGACAGGTTTCATAATTCCAGTGACAGCTGGTCACTAAAGAACTTTCTCAAAAGGGAATATTCTAGCCCAGCGGTGGTGGCCACTTCATCAATCCCTGCACTTAGGAAGCAGAGGCAGGTGTATCTCTCTGAGTTTGAGGCCAGCCTGGTCTGCAGATCCAGAATAGCTAGGGCTGTTACACAAAGAAACTGTCTTTGAAAAAAAAAAAAAAAAAGTGGGAGAGGGGAATATTCCTATCTGAGTACCTGAGCTAGACCTCCCGCGTGGACCAGCGTTATGTCGGGCATCCATGAGCATCCAGGGACCACCAAGCCATACAGTGCAATCACAAAGTAAGGGACAGAATAGAACATGTATGCCAGCATCTGTGTGACAAAGAAGTGAGCAAGTTAACAGTTTGACCTTAACAAAAAGCAAAAACAAACGTTTTCAAAGATAAATGCTAACTCTTTTTTTCCTGTGTAGACACCTCATTTTCTCATTTAAAATAAGAATTAACTTTAGGAAAACCTTAGACTTCGTAACTACTTGACCTGAATTTTAGGATAAGCAGCAGGGTCCTTTAGGTAGGGCTCTTGAAACTGTGCGTAGAGTCGGCAGAGCTCAGCTGGGCAGTCCAAAGCAATCTAAGGACAAAATGAGTTCATTATAAATAGTCTCGTCTGGTTCTTGGGTTTGCTGATGAGGCTGTGTGCCAGCTTCAGTCATAAGCCACTTTGTCTTTCCAGGCTCATCAGTAACAAGAAAAACAAACATTCCGACTTCTCTAAAGGACTAAGCCTAGCTTAACCATGGAGCATTGTTCTTGGGACAATGATAGTCACGGCTTCAGCATCTAGGTTTAGTGAGCCAAGGCACAGCTCTTGGTATAGATGACGAGTTCCACTTGGGAATAGCTAGCCAACTAGTCTCTACCAGAAGAAAAATAACACTTCAGTGCCAAATTAATCATACTATGCTTTGCAAGATTCAAAAATAGCATCTGCCCCTCTCTCTCCTGTGCCTCCCAGAGCATATGGTCCTTGGAAGCAGCAAGGGGTGATTCGAAAGCGGGGTCCTCCTGTGGAGCTCCGCCCACTTCAGGAAAGAGCAGAGCGCCCCTGAAGAGTAGACTCTAGGCCACAGACTAGATGTTGGCACGCCACTGAGACACTTCCCCTCGGGCACCATTCCTCATGTCCTCGGCTGTCCGTCACTGAAATGTCTTCCTAGATGACTATGTAGATTACAGGCCAGCCGTGGAGCTGAACCTTTGCCCAAATGCTCATCTGGGGAAGTCCCGCCCAGCACACACGCACACATCTTTCTCAGGGGCAAGAGAGAAAAAAGAAGGACGTGGAAGGATACAGTTGGATCTCAGTATGTGGTGGTGGTTGAGCTTGGGAATTAGCACAGACCAACCAAAGAACAGGTTCCATGACTTGTTCTCAACTCGTGCAATACCAGCAAGGTTAGAATAGTTAGTGATTGTTTCAGCTGAATATGATTAGCAGATAATTCCTAGATATTAAAATATTTCTTCTAAGAATAAATTATAAAGCTGGGCCATTGTGAAGAATCAATGATATATTAAGGAAGACAGTAACAATAGCTGTTTATTGAACACTTTCTTTGTGCCAGGCCCTGTACCAAGAGGGTAGTCACTAATCTTCAAAATGATGTAAGGTAGGCACTCGTAGTTTACGGGGGAGGAAATGGTAGGTCGTAGAGATTGACATTTGCACAGCTAGCAAACGGCTGGTGTTCCCTGCAGCTCCACAAAGAAAACCTATCTGCAAAAACAAGCCACACGCAAAGACTGATACACAGAGAAAAACTCCAAACCTGAGCCTAATTCAGCATTACCCTTAGCAGTGAGATGCTCACATGACCCTGCATGGGGGGAACTGTTGCCCGGGAACCTCTTCCTTGATCCCACCGTTCCTACTCCTGAGAGCACCTGGATACTTTGGGCCACAGCTGAATTGAGGTCTTAGGGTATCACCCAGACCAAAGATGGTTGCCTTTAAGTCGGGGCAGGGGAGATCAAGGAAAACAAAAGAATGAGGTTCTAATCGCCAGTTTTTCGGGTATCCTAAAATAAGGAAGATATTTCTAGATAGAATTGATCTGAGGACCCAAAGGAGGAAGTATGAGATAGTCCAGGACGAGCCTTCCCTTGTGAGTAGGGGTATGCAGAGAACTGCGGAAGCTAGTCCAGAGCTCCAGGCTGTGGCAGGAAGAAGAGTTTGTCAGTATGGCTTTAAACACACGCACACACACACACACACACAGAGAGAGAGAGAGAGATTGATTTCCCATTTGGAATAGTATATTGCTATTTTGATACTATGCTTACCAGGCCTCTGAACAGACAAAATCCAGTCGCCAAGAAAAGACACACAACCAGTATGAGGTCAAATGGTCTTCTCAGGAGGGCCTTCGCTTGGGCTTCTTGAAGAACCTAAAAGAGAGTTTGTTGCTGGAGAATAATCCCGAGGCCAGGGCCAAGCCTGCAGCACTAAAGGCCAAGATGATGAACAGTGAGTCCGGGAGATGCTCAGTCCACATCATGGACCACTGACCACAGAACTTCCAGAGTACCTCCCCTCCTCCCCTCCAGTGCACTCGCTCTTCATCATAGAACAGTGAGTCTGGGAGATGCTCAGTCCAGAGTACCTCCCCTCCGTGCACTCCCTCTTCCGTGAAGCGAAAGCACTAAGGTGATTTGAGGCTCATCCCACGCTAGTCCATATATTTTCTTGAAACTACGTTTTTATGGTTATAAAAGTAAGCTACATGCATTTGAAAAATGAAACTTTAGAATGTAACCATAAATTGCCTCACTGCTGTCAGTGGTTGATACACACTCACGGTCATTTATAGGTTTTTTGTTTTGTTTTGTTTTTTTGTTTGTTTGTTTTGGATTTTTTTTTTCAAGACAGGGTTTCTCTGTAGCTTTTTTGGTTTCTGTCCTGGAACTAGCTCTTGTAGACCAGGCTGGCCTCGAACTCCCAGAGATCTGCCTGCCTCTGCCTCCCGAGTGCTGGGATTAAAGGCGTGCACCTCCACTGCCTGGCTCATTTATAGTTTTGGTTGGTTGGTCAGCTGGTTGGTTTGTTGGTCAGCTGGTTGGTTGGTTGGTCGTCAGCTGGTTGGTTCGTTGGTTGGCTTTCTGAGACAGGATCTCAAGTACGTGACCCAGACAGACCTGGAACTCCCTGTGTAGCTCAAGTTAGCCTCAAATTCTTGATTATCCTGCCTCCTCTCCCCAAGTGCTAGGATTAGATTTCATGTGTGCCACCATCCGGCCTGACTCATTCATACACACACGCACACACACACGCACACATACACATACATTTATGTGTAAATACATACATATATACTCACATATAACCTTGTTTGCAGAAATAGAATTTAGAATATAAACAGTTCTGCATTCTTCCCTGAACAACTCCCTGTGAGCACGTGCTCACGTGATTAAAGTCGAAAATACCGTAAGGAGACCATAATTGCTGTTCTCCCAGTGCAAGACACTGGGGCATTTTTTTCACTCGGACACTGAATGTTGAGGAGAGTGGCCCTGCACAGAAATCCCCGCAGCGTGTCAGCGATGACGGTCTCAGGACAGGCCCCTATGTGGAAATGAGTTGGATGCATGGCTAAACCACCCTGCAGAGTGAGTCTGCCGCTCTTGGGTTTTGTTGGCCAAGTTTGGTTCCTAACAGCACCGTGTCATAACGCCCATGGCTGTGTTTTACTCTTCAAGCGACAACATGTGGTTCTGTGCGTCTTGTTATGCAAACACTGCTCACACACAAACAGTGGAGCCAGGGCCGACTAGGGTTACAGTTCACCCTTCTTTTTTTTTTTTTTTTTTTCAGAATGTAAGGACATCTGATGGGATTTATTTTCAGTTGTAGTTAAAATACACAACTTAAACACCAGAAAAGTAACTTTGTTAATGGTTTAGCATTTTGTGAAACAGATACCATATCATAAAACCAAATTAATGGAATTTACTAAAGCCACAAACAGATTTCTTTATTCCTGACATAAAATTTTAGCGGTATGAAGCTTTCGAATTTGGACCAATCTGACATAAAGAAAGATATTCCTTTGAATATTCAAGAAGCATACAGAACACCAAACAGACTGGATCAAAGAAAAACATCCCCTCGCCATATAATAATCAAAACACAAAATATACAGGTTAAAGAAAGAATATTAAGAGCTGCAAAGGAAAAAGGCCAACTATAAAGGTAAACTGATCAGACTTACACCTGACTTCTCTATGGAAACCATGAAAGCCAGAAGGTCCTGGATAGAGGTACTGCAGAAGCTAAGAGGTTTTGTCACCCTTTCTTCTAACAGCCACTCACTCCTCAAAGAGATGTACGCATGTGGCTGCTGTTGGCCTGAGTTTACACGGCAGTATCTACATATGTACAAGTTAACCTCGTGTAAATTGTACTGTACGTAGAGCGAGAAGTAAACTTCAGTGGTGGAGTGGTTGTTTGGCACATGGGTGGCCATGAATTCAACCCCAACACTCCCCTAAAAAGGTATTTTAATGAATTCTAGTTGTAAAAATAATTTTGACCAGACATGGTGGCACATGCTTTTAATTCCAGCACTCAAGAGACAGGTGGATCCCTGTGATTTTGAGGCCAACCCGGACTACATGGAGAGATCGAGCCCATCTAGGGAGGGCTACGTAGTAAGACCCTGCCTCAAAAATAATTTTAAAAAATAATTATTTTAAAGTAAAAATAGTTCCGTCAGGTGAGTAACCGTGTTCTAACTAGTACTTTGTTCTCGCACATCAGATAGAGTTAGAGGACCCTATCCAAGGATCTCGTATATAAACTGAAGAGAAAGAAATCGCTCTCTCAGAAAGGAAGACTTAAGCAGACCTGCGGGGCTAGCATTGCTTCATACCGACCACCTTGGCCGTGACTGGAAGGGGAGGAGTCTTGGGAGTGCTCCTGCAGCCAGAGTCCTGGCCCCGCACCCCCAGAGGTCAGATCCCTTGGCCCTCGTGCACTGCCTTGACCAGCTCAGCAGTAAGTGGGATTACCAAAGGAAGCGTCAGTGCTCACACACAGGCCACAGACGAGCCAGGCAAACCGTAAGCCTGGACTTCCCCTGTCACACTAACACAGAAGGGTGACGAGAGCCAAGGTGATCCCTGCGAGGGACGTCCCCCAAAGTGTAGCCTGGAGAGTGGGTTATGGGGCAGTGGGAAGAGGCAGGTGGACTCAGATGGAAGCAGACTGTCTGCCTCATTGATGAAGATGCCAGCAAATGCCAAGCTAGCAACACAGCCCTGGGGATTGAACACCCCAAATGCTCTCTGCTCGCAGGAGGTGTGAGCCCTGTGACCCCGAGGACATGGAAGAGTTACTGGCTGCCAGAGAGCTAGCCCGAGTTTACACACCAGTAGCCAACTGGTTATACTTCGGTGTGATAAAATTACCTTTGAGGGATAATTATAGTTTTCTGATGGCTGACTGTAGATCCTGAAGCCAGCCCAGACCGGAAGACACGTATATGGTATGCTTAAGAAGAATGCAGGGCAAATCCGTGTTCCATATTTTCCTATTTTAAAGAGAGAGGAAAAAATGTACAGCTCAATAAGATAAAATTTTTAAAAATCCTAAAAGAGAGGAAAAGATAGAAGTCTGTTAGTGCATATATACACACACTGATATTTAAGCTACTTCCTGCCTCAAATCACATAAAATGTTGCTATGAACCAGGCACTATTTTTATCAGATAAGGCAAAAACCGTCAAAACCATTAGATGTTTCTTAACAGTGATGTCCTGTTTACAATATGAAAAACTATATTAACACACATATACTAATTTTCTGCCTGTCTAAATGACTTCTTTTACTTCAGCCTGGAAGAATCTTTATTTCCGTGCATTGACCATAGGATCTCATGGCGCATGAAAAGCGACATGAAATACAAAGAGCTGCGAGCAGCGTCCACGCAGCAAATGCCGATTGCTTAGCTAACTTCAGTGCACACTTCTCAGCATGGCTCCAAAGCACTTCTTAAAAGATGGGAGCACCGAGGGGCTGGAAATAACTTAGCAAAATAGCGCTTATAAGCTTGCAATCTATTATAAAGCTGAAAAAAACAACTTCTCTATCTAAAAACCCCATCATTGCAAAAGATAAACAACAAGGAAAGCGTGGCTGTTAAAATGGGGCTTCTTACCTACAATGTTTCCGGGCACAAAGACCACAATGCTCATGATGATGGAGCCCACCCAGTACAGGCCAATGGTTCTGTAGCTCTCCCTGCAATGAAACACGTGCACATGAACACATACACACATACATGCGCACAAAACAAAATGTAATTTAAAAAAATAAGGTAGAGAAGAAATTGAGGAATACTCCCAACATCACCCTCTGACCTCCACACTAGCCTGCATGAATGAGCGCACACTCCCACACAGGTAACACACACACACACACACACAAATGAGTGCACACTCCCACACAGGCAAAGCGCATGTATACACACACAGAGTTTATTGTTGATATCACATGTTTGTTTATTAGTTGAGACAGGTTCTCACTGTGTAGCCCTGGCCTGGAACTCACTCTGAAGACCCTCCTGACCTACAACTCAGAGATCCTCATTCCCCGCCCCCTGAGTGCTGGAACTAAAGGCGTACACCAACACGCCTAGAGAGATGGTTCTGTTTTGAAAACATAAGCAGAAACCTAAGGGATCACTCTGCCTGAGCTGCCACCAAGGTAGAGGGACAGCTCAAAGGGATGTGTTAAAAAAGGCAGTGAGACAAAGAAAATAGACCTCTGTCCAAATCATAGAACTTTCCTGCCCTGGCATACATGTGTGTATTTGCCTCTCTACGTATGTTTTCCTTACCCCTTCTCAGTTGCAAAGGTGACACACACAGCAGGTAAGCTCACTTACTCCCATGCGATGGCGGCCACCATCACCAGGTACATCAGGTAATGAACAGAGCCATCCCAGTAGCAGATCATGTGCCCATAGGCCGTGTTCAGATACGGTTCACCCTGAGGAGAGCATTACAAAGATAGTTCAGTGTAAGGAAGACTCGAATCTTTAAACACAGGACAGCAGACGTATGTTACAAGTAAAACAACAGAACTCAGTGCTGTTTGTTCATTTGAGCTGTAACAGCTCCCAAACAGTTGGTAGGACTGCAAAAATGTGACTTTCACCCCAGGGCAGCCAGGACCAAGGTCTGCCATGACATCAAATAGGAGAAGTCCTAACAAAATGACGTTTGATTACTCGACAAAAGTTTGTATAATAACACAAAGGCATCAGGTGGCTGTGTGAGCAACCCCAGTCACTGGAGCAAGGCCAAACTTGTGTCTGCAAGAGCTTGGCCCTGGCCAGAAGGGTGGCCCAGGAAGACCCTGTTCGCTGGTGCCCCCAGCTGATCTTAACTAGACATGCTGATCTTGTGGTGGGTTGGGCAGGTACCCACGTCCAATTTTACACCCAGCTTCCCCCTGCCCCTTATTCGACCTTCCCAACAGGCTTGTGGGCTGGTCAGGACCATCTGTCTGCAGAGGCAAAAACATGTTTCAAGGCTTTAAGACTTGCCTGAGGTCACACAGCTACTAAGGAGCAGGACAGGTATCACCAACCAAAGCCACACTTCAGGGATATTGTTAGTTTCATGAGCCCGCGATTTTATGATGAACTATGCATGTTCCCTTTTCCCAGGTACTCATGTTTTAGGTTCCCACCAGCCGTGAATGCTTCAATGGTGTTCTCTTCTTTTCTTCCTTGTCCTAGGACCATGCCCTCCCAGATTGCTTCCCATGTCTCCCTAATATGCTTGCTGTCCTTTCTCTAACTAGGAGAGGTCTGAGCAGCTGAACGGTATCAACCAGCCAAGGAGGCATTCCCTGAAACTTTGTGGCTCCTCTCAGGCAAGGACATCAGCACCACCACCACCCAAAAGTCACACCCAAACTTTAGCCCTGTGCCTGGCTACTGCCTTTTTCTCCTACCCATGGTGCTCTAGCTGCATAATTCCAACCGATTTCATGGCTCCAGTCATTCCTGCCTACACACTCAGTTCTGAAAGCCAGCACTGGTCTCTTTGGGGAGCTTGACAGACACCCACGGGCTCTTCAAACCCATCTGAACTCTTCCAACTCACCTGCTTCTCCCTTCCTGGCCCCTGCACAACCAGCTCGGCCAGCTCCAAGCTCGTCTATGCAGCCTTTGGACAAATCTCACTGATGTTATATCTACGCTGTCACTTTAGGTGACCTTCCCGTTTCACCACTGCGTAGGCTCAGGCTTTCGGAGTCCCACATAGAACCATGGCTGCATTCCCAGTCACCCCGTCTCTCCCTGCTTCCCGTCTACCACACTCCAGCCACAATGCGAGATGCACGCAGCAGCCATCCTCCTAAAAGCCTATAGGTCAAAGCCCCATCTCTTCCACTAGGTCCCAGACCTTACCGCTGTTACACCCCAGCTTCCTTTCTTGTGTCTACTACCCAAATCCTTGCCAACCTCACCTGGGAGATACCCTGCCCTTTGAGCAGCATCCTCCCTCCTGAAAGCTCCTCCTCTGAGTTCATTGGCCCTCTGCCCCTCTCTGCCCACCATGATCTTTCATTCCCCATGGAAGCAACTGCATTTGGGTGGCTCCTGACTCTGTGACAAAATCTTTCCTCAGAAGTCCTGCTCAGCCGTGCCAGTTGGGGCATTAGTAGATGTCTCTCAAGCATCCAAAACGCCACATGTCCCCAGATGAACTCAGCATTCCCCCCGCAAACACTCCTGGAGAGATAGACACTATTAGGCCTCTTTCCACACCTCTGCCCAAAGTGTCCCCTTGCCCTGGAAGCCCTTTCCCTTCCTTGTACCATATAGAAGTGTGTGTGGTCCTTTCCCATTGCCACTCTGAAACGCTATGGAAATGCCAGCAAAGAGGCCTTGCTGGGCATTTCCAGAGCCCATTCATCTGTACTGAGAGTGTACCTCTCTCATTATAGCAGGCCAATGTCATTCGCCCTTCACACTAGACAGTGAACTCCTGAGGGCAAGAAATGGAATTAGATTCAGGACTCTCTATAGAACGTCACTCCTCAAGCCTCTGACTTAACAGCAGTATTCTAACAAACCCCAAAACAGGAACCAGAGCATCACGTTGGGCCTTCCTCTCCATCACCCCCATCTGGACCCGAAATCCCACTCCAAATCCCCGAAACACTCTCTCTCTCTCTCTCTCTCTCTCTCTCTCTCTCTCTCTCTCTCTCTCTGTTTGCCCTGCACTGCTTCTGGCCATCTTCTTGCCCTTGCTAGCCTTGCAGAAGCCACCTTAGGTATAAGATATCCCACTTCACGAAATGGCCCAATACCCACAAACTTGCCTTCTTCCCTGGCTCAGAAGCTCCCCTCACACACTCCTCACACAAACTCCTCCTTATTTGAAACACAGAAAGGCAATAGACAATACTGTTTTCACCTCTGATCTATTTTCTATGTGACCTTAAGGAGGTCACTTGGCCTCTCCAGGACAGGATTCAACCCACTCTAAGTTAGAAAATAAGCCTAGTTTCCTCAAAAGCTATGATTTGGGGATAGGATGTTACTCACAGACTCAGCAAGCTCCAGTAACTTGATATTACATATATATTATATATTATGATATTATATATGTGAGACCCTGTCTCTGTGTGTGTGTGTGTGTGTGCGCGTGCGTGTATATATACAGGGTCCCCATACTGTAGCCCAGGCTAGCCTGGAGCTCACCATATTGTCAGACTGTCCTCAAACTTTCAGCAGGTCTTCTGCCTTAGCCTCCCAACTATACTGAGTAAAATTGCAGGTATACTAAAGACGGTTTTGGGATCTTTGCGATTCTAATCCGCTAACAGAAACCCAAATACTAAAATCATGTGAAGTTCTTCACTCGCAGGGAAAAACAGTTCTGGAGCGAAGGAGGCACGGAGAAGAGGGTCTCCCGGCCTTCTGTGTTCCGTCGCTGGCCTGTCATGTGCCTGCTCAGGCTGGGACAGTGCCCCACCAGCAGCCTGCATGTGAGCCACCCGGTCACAGCGCAACCCTCGAGCAGCCCCGTACCTCTCTCAGGTAGTGAGTCATAAACCCATCAATGATGCCGTCTTGCTCCAAGCCTATGATGAGGTTCACCACGCTGGTAAATCCGAACACCGCATACACTAGAACAGAGGAGACAGCAGCTGAAAACGCATGCCGTGGGAGACAACAAGGAAGGGGCATCCACCAATTATTATGGAGTGTTGCTCATGTTCTTTCAGGAAGTGCTGCGGGTGTTATCCGCACAGACAAGCAGGCTGCATCTGCCGCACACAGGCTGGTCTTCAGGGAGCTCATGTCACAGAAACAGAGAATCACAGTGTGCCAGAAGATTCTTCCAGGCCACCTCCACCATCCTCACTCTCTTCAAGTGAAACCCCACCCCCCCCTGAGCAGCAGGAGCTACGCCACTGTAACCAAATGGTCATCAGGCAGTCTAGAAAAGGTGAGTCCTCTTAGTGTGGCATGCAAGCCAACTAAGAGTGTGTCCACATGTCCAGCATGCTAGCCTTGTCCTCCCTGGAGGTCCTGAGGGTGGGCAGGTGGCTGATGTGCAACTGACAGTCAGTAGCTTTAAGGGAAAAGGCAGAAACTTTCTGCTTTGGAGCCTGGCCTGGAACTAGCTTTTGTAGACCAGGCTGGCCTCGAACTTGAAGATCCGCCTGTCTCTGCCTCCCGAGTGCCGGGATTAAAGGCGTGCGCCACCACCGCCCAGCAAAAGGCTGTGACTTTTAAAATGCACGTGAGATGGGACAGCTGAAGATGCAGGGAGGAAGGCTGCCACATCCCCGGAATCTGGCCGGTTGTTCGAAACCCCCAGCTGGGCTTTAAATACTACGCATGGCCACCAGTTAAGGACCAGAGCTTTATAACAGCTGCCAATCCCACTCGGGGCCTGTGAGTCCACTAGGAAAAGTGCATTTTTTTAAGTTATAATATATTGACGTCTGAGACTGTGGAACGGGAAGGGGCGATAGAAAACCCTGCTTGTGAATACAAAAGTTGTGGAGAAAGCAAAAGGAGAGAGGGGAAGCTGCCTTAGGGGAAGCCAGTAGGAGTGAGGGGTCCCTGAGCGGGCGTCACCAGGCATCACTGAGGCCCCATGGCTGCTTCCTGCTGGTGCGACCACTTTGACTCCCAGATAAGCAGCCATCATGGCTCCTGGAAAACGAGGCACCGGGCGTGTAATCCACTAGCAGCTGGTGACACCCATAGAGGTGATAGATACTGTCTGAGAGGTGATAAAGACATAGTCTCTGTCTCCTGGTAGGTAAGGATGCTGGCCTAGGGCTCGACCGCAAGGCTGAAGGGTTCTCAAAGCTGGAGCAGAACCATGCATACAAGAGTGGTTGCCTTGCCTCAAGGATGGGGAAACATCTGAATCAGTAGGCTAAGTGTGGGCTCCCAGGGTGGGGAGGAAGTGGAAGGATAGACAGCGGTGTGAGACTGTCTGGGACCAGATCAGCTCTGAAGTCAGAGAGGCCAGCCAGACACGGAGACCAGACTTCTCCAAGCTTCAGTGTGTGTCAACGGGGAGACTAGTCCCTTACAATTCCCTCTCCACCTTTGCCAAGGCTCACAGAGGGCAGGGACTGCTTCCCGCCTTTGATGAGGTCACGTGGTTTGCTCTGACCTTAGGATGGAGCTGGAAGTGACTGTGGCACTGGGGACATTCCTTTCCTTCCTTGAGCCCTCTGTGTAGGCTTTGGGGACCTAGGAGGAGACGAGAGTACAGCCCTGAATCTACCCACAGCCTGGAGCTGAGCATCTCAGGAAACCCACAGGCCAGTGAGCAAGAAAAATGGATGCCCATTGCTAGAGACACACGTGAGGAGGACTTGGCATAAGCAGAAACATAATGAATAAGATGCCCAACAGAATTCCCGGCCACAGGAAGTGCTGCGAGACCAGCCACAGCTTTGCCTGAGGCAGCATGTGTGTGAAAAGGGTCTGGGGGTGTCCCCCATGATCCTGTCTGCATTTCTGGCACCTCCAGCTAGCCGAGTGAAGGGATATTCGTTACGAGTATTAAAATAATACTTCTGAAGGGCTCGGAGCCTTCTCAGGCACATGATGTGTCCAACCAATGACTTTTTTGTTTGTTTATTTAATATACATACTTATTTGTCAGGTGTTGATTGAAGTCCCTAGCAAATACTAATGTCTGACCATGGTATTATCTTCCCCTTTAGACAAATGTGTAGACCAGCGTTCCCAACCTGCGGGTCACAACCCCCATTCCATACCAGATATTTACATTATGATTCATAAGTAACAAAATTACAGTTGTGAAGTAGCAACAAAGATGATTTTATATGGTCGGGGGGTCGCCACAGCAGGAGGAGCTGCGCTAAAGGGTTGCAGCATTAGGAGGGCTGAGAACCACTGGTGTAGACTGAGACGCGGCACATTCAATCTCACATACCAGCAGCCAGCTGAAGGCAGAAAGCCCAGCCTGGAGGCTGAGGTAAGAGCATGCCAGGGGCAAAACAGGGTGCCTAGAGGAGGCCCGCCTGGCCCTGCCAGTCACTCTCTAGAAGAACTCTATTTAGAAAGTGGACACCACAGCCTTGAGGGGAACTGAGAGGCAAGGGCCTTGTCCTGAACAGCCCTACAGTTCCAGTTTCTGTCAGCAGTGGGCTCAGAGCAGCCACAGCCCAGCAGGAACATGTACCCAATGCCTGGCTCCCTGCCAGAGTGGATACAAACCCTTTCCCTCTGAGGAATCTACCTACCAGCCCACCTACCGTAAAACAGAGGGTCCCGTGGTGGTTTTCTTTTGACAAGGACCCGAGCCAAAAGGGCCACCAGGAGCAGGATGAGGGCAGCAACCCCAACAATGGTCCAGGAACTGTCAGGAGCAAAGCAGGGAGGTGGTCACTAATCACAATAAACACAACAGTGCCTGGAATTTCCTGGCTATTGAAGGCACTGGCTCCCGTGCTGCAGAAGGCTCCTGGAAGCCAGCCTCAACTCAGGCACCGAAAAGTTGCTGCAGTTTGTCCCCAGCATGCTGGCCTCTTGGGGTCACAACCCCACAACACTCACGGACCAGAAACCCAGGTCCCCCCTTCCTTCCCACTGGTGTCCCTCGTATGGCTGCAGCTCAGCTGCCCCTGCCCTCCTTTTTCTCCAACCCTTTACCCTGGAAGCTAACCGTCTAACCACTAGTCTGCCACCTCCCCTGGACCAGTCATTAACCCTCTGACTGAGCTTCATTATGATTGACAGGCCCTCCAGGGAGAAACTTGAAATTTGCAGTGCACTTCCCCATGTGGTAGGCACTGTTGCTGGCTGACGAGACTCCGGATGAACAAGAGAGGCCACTGTCTACGTGGAGGTACTTATCTCTAGGGGTTCTGAGCTCTGCTGGCCGGAAGGTCACCCCAGCCCTACAGAGATACCCAGATGGCCAACACTGTTGGGGCTTCCTATTCTGGACAAATACCTCCATGGCCCTCTGTGCCAGCTCTATAGAATCAGCTCCCCACTACCACTCAAAGATGCTACAAGCACCAATCCCCAGCTGGGATACCTCCACACCATGGCCCAAACACTGGGATCTTCAGATAACCTCCACCACATACCCCTGGGGAAAGAGAAAGACAGTGGTAGAGAGAGAGAAGAGGGATGAATGGATGGAAGAGGAGATGATGGACAGATGAACGGTGAGTGGGTAAGGGATGGATGATGGATGGGGGCGGTGGATGAAGGACCGGATGTGCATGGATGGATTCTACCGTATGATGAGGAGGAGACTGCTCTGTGTGCTGGGAAATAATGGGAGGTTTCTGAAGCCTCCCTCATACCCGTGGGTTCTCCAGGCTCCTCGGGGAGCTTCCATGGCTCACAAGCATGATGCTGCTCTATCTAAGATACCCAGGGAGGAGAGGGGCAGGTCGGTGAGCCATGTGGCAGGGTGCAAACAATGAGCCTAGAGGCAGGTGCTGGTCAGCAGACAAGGCTATCCCTGGACTCTTTACGGCTGAGTTCACAGCCTGTGCGCTCAAAGGGCTAGGCTCTGATGGAGGATGACAGGCAGCATGAATTAGTTCAGGGCGCCCTCTCATGCTCTCCACCTCTAGGCAGGAGGACACGTGAAGGGAAACTGGGGCAGTAGGTCACGTCTGCCCCCCCACCAGCTCTGCTCCTGGAGACCCTCTGGGGAAAACAACCCATGCCCAGGGCGAGCAGAAGCAGGTCTAACCGCGCAAAGGGCGATTTGGATAAGCCAGGGGTTGCAAGCCTGGAGTGGTCAGGAGTTCCTGGTGCTCTTTGATTAATCCTCTGGGCTGCTCTCCAGACAAACAGCAGGCTAGCCCTCCCCCTACCTTGCCTAGCTCACACATACCCCAGAACACCTGCAAGGCTCTGTCCCCAGATCTCCCATAACTGAACATATACGGGGGCATGCAAACGCTTCCCTCCCCCAACTCCTTTCTGACCCTTCGACCTCTCTGACCATCCTGCTTCTCAGAGTTTCATAAAAGGCCTGAGCAAGCAGAAGTTCCAGTTAGGAAAGGAAGGGCAACTGAAACCCCGCTGCACACAGGGCTGGGTGGAGCAGCATCCAGAGGAGTTGCTGCTGGGCAAGGTGGGCTCTGGCCACAGGTCGGAACTCTGTGGGGAAAGTGAGTCAGGAGTCTGAGGGGATTCAAGGCAGGAATCCCTTTGGAGGGAGGACCCACAAATGGAGAAGTGGCAGTTTCAATTCCGCAGGGCCGTCAAGTTAAGTGTGTCTTCAGCAACCCACGGTGGGGAGAAAGGAAGAAGGAACAGCCACAGAGACAAGAAGGTGGACCAGGTGTTTAGAAAAAAAAAGAGAGAGAGCTCTGGGGGTGGGGGTGGGGTGGAAGCTGAGGTTCAGATATGTGCAGGAGGCTCAGACAGGAGGGAGCCTTTGCCACGGTCTGTGCCAGAGAACTTAGAGTTCTCCCAAGTAGCCCCGTGATTTACCAGAAAGGGGGACAGGAGGAAGAATTTAGGGAACAAAATGAGAGAGCTGTCCTGGAATGCCGGTTTATCCTATGTATAGGAGGATGCAGGGAAGGGCTGGAATTAACTCAGTCCAGCCCTTCCTAGATAGCTCAGCCAGCAAACGCCTGCCCATCACAACCACTTCCTTCCCCTCCCGCGTTCACCCTGCTCCCTATGCTCACAAAGCTCTGCCCCCAGATCTTGCCGTAGCTGAAGCATCCCTATCTCCAAAAAACCTTCCCAGGCCACTAGCCCCCTCCGGGTCACCCCGTTTTGTTGTCTTCGTAGCATATGTATCTACTGGTCTCTATTTTAATTCATGGCTCCTCAGTCATTCCTGGCCTGTTCTCAGCTAGTCCCCAACTTCAGCGAGGGATTGGAGCACATGTTCAATAAATGTCCGCTGAGCTGCTCACGGTGCTACTTTAGGAGCCAAGGCCTCTGTGCACTCTAGCGACAGGCACAAAACATCTGACTGCCCAGAGCCTCTGCATCAGGAGATGCTCCAGAGGCAGGGTTGGTCCAAGGGCAGATGCAGCCTGTGCCTAAGCTAACAGAGCTTCTCCGTGCTCGGGTTGTCTGCATGAGGTTACCAGAGCAGGGCAAGATGATGTGTGCACCCCCTGCTAGCAGTCCGGAGGACTTGGGGGTGGGGGACATTGCAGCGTATTAGACTGATGCAATTTCCTTAGTACCAACCGCTGTGGAAAACATAGCAGGTTACTTCCTCCTCCAGCAGGCAGCAACCAGCTTCTGCAGGGCCGCAGCTGGCGCCTTTCCAGTGACCACCCAAGGGCTGGTCAGTCAGTGATCCCTTTAGAGAAGTGGGAGGCCAGACTGGGAGCCAGAGTCCGTGTAGACTCCTTCAGCTCCACCCGGCCTTAGCACTGAACTACCGCGCCTTTGCTCGGGGCTGGCATTCCTGTCACAGCGCCCCTCCACAAAGTTCTCACAAGAACCTTAGGGTGCAAATACTACCCATTTGACAGACCAGAACGCTAAAGCCAGGCCACCCCGTTAGTAGCCAAGCCAGGCCCAGAGAACCAGGGCTATTTCTGCTCGCCTCTCACAACAATTTCTAAAATTAAAAAAGGGTTAAGTAAGTGAAAGTCCATACATGGAAAACGATCCTATCAAATAGGGCAGGCTCGTGCCTTTCCGTGTTGCTCTGAACCCTTTGGTGTCTGAGAGCCTAGGAGGCAGGAGCATTGCGGTATTGACCTGGGTAATCCCAGTACCCACTCAGCACCAGCAAAGAGCAGGCGCCCAGCCCTCAGACCTTGAACTGCCCTAGCCCAAAGGAGGACCTAGGTCCGGGTGACCTGGCTGTCTCCCTCGTGCGGCGGGCGTGGAGTTCCTGGACGCGACCCCAGTCCCGCGGAAAAGTTGCAGGTGCTTGCCGACCCCTTGCGCGCTCACTCACTCGTGCTGGGCCGCCAGGTGGTTGAAGATGTAGGTGACCGGGATGGCTGAGAGGGACAGCACGAACACCCCGGTGGCCGCAGAGGCACTCATCGCCGCCGCCGCGTCGCTCGCCCTTCACTGCATCGCGCCCGGGTGCCCCCACCCCAGCTTCCGGCGACGCCGCGCCCCTCGCCGCTACCCTTCCAGGTTCCCCTCTGCGGCGTCCCCTCCGCGCGTCCCCGCAGCTGCCCCGCGAGCGCAGTGCCGCCACCCGGGTGCGCTAGAGCCGCGGTACGATCCCGAGAGGCGTCCCCGCCCGGCTCCTTCTAAAGAATGCCGTGGTTCAGAGGCGACCGCGACGAGACAAGCGCCCCAGGACGCTTGCTCTAGGGAAAGGGAGTGGCCGGGCGAAGCACGCGGGTCACAGTCGGGAGCTGGGCATCCTCGAGCTGGAGCGGCGCTGGGCTGAGCCAAGGGCCAGGGGAGGGTGGAGCCAGACCCGAGGGTGTCAGCGCGTGCAGGCCCGCGAGGTCGGCTCAGAGACCCACAGGGACAGATGCTCCAGGAACCTTGGAACCTCCCCGCCCCCCAGGCAGGCATCAAGGGCCGCAACCAAGGTTCTTGGGCCAAGTGGAAATATTCGGTTTCCTCCCTGCTACTCGCTCACCAGCCCTTGACCTTGATCAAGTTACTAAGCGTCTGTCTCTTTTCTCTGTGTGTGTGTGAAATGGAGATAGCCTGCTGCATCGTCTGACTGTGGAAATAACGGAGTTAACAAGTATGAAGGGCTTGCCCTGCACTGCTCAGCGCACGGGTCTGTTTCCCGCTCCCTTTCTTTTTTTGTAGCAGAGCGGACCCCTCAGAGGAACGCCCTGGTGTAGGACGCTGAGACAGTATTCATTCCTTGCTTGTTCTTGGAGGCCAGGTTAGCGCCGACTAGCCTGGCAGGTCGGCAGGGTACAAAGACGAGAAGACAAGAGCTCTCTTCGGAATATCGCCCAGATAGACGGCTGCTTGTAGAGCATGGTGGTGACCGCTGTTCTGCCGGAACCGCCGTACTGGTGGGGGAGCTCCAGAAGGCCCCTGCGGCAGAACCTGGTTGCTGTGGCCTTGGGGAAGCGAAGAAAAGTGGGCTCCTGAGCGACGACAGGTGCAGCAGAGTGCAGGTCTTCCCGTCTCCACGACCGAGTCTCATTTGGTTCATTTTAAAAGTGAGGAAAATGAGCCACCGATCCGCAATGACCTGCTCCAGGCCACTCAGTTGTTTCAAAGCCAGCTCTCCTAATCCCCGTCCTAGCTTTTCTTGAAAACTCAGTCAACAGTGGGCACGTAAGGGTAAAGTAAAGCCTCTACCCAAATTGCGGTGTCTTCGAGGTTTCTCTCAGAAGTCTGAGGGAAGCCTGAACAGCACCTTCTTCCATGATTGCTCCTTATCCTTACCACCTCCATCATCCCCCAAAGAACTTTCTCTCCCTTGGCCAGTCCCCTAGACCAGCTCCCCAAGCCTGCCCAATCCGCCATCACCTCCTCCTCTGGTACCTGGATGTGTTAGCATTCTCTATATGCTCTGAGTGCCTCTGGCTGCCCTGCCCTTCCTGCCTACCTGGACACTAGCTGAACCTCAATTATTACTTACGCTTCTTTCTCATCTGTACTTGGTTTGCGTTAAATTCAAAGTTATATTTATGAAAATTGTTCAGTCGAAGTCAGGAATGTAATTGGTGGAGTGCTTGCCTGACGCTCAGAAACTCCATGCCTCTATCTGTTCTCCAGTGCTTCATAAATGGGGCTTTATGGGACACACCTGAAATCCCAGCACTAGGAGCTGGAGGCAGAGGGATTTGGGAGTTCAAGGTCATCCTCAGCTACCTAACAAGTTCAAGGCCAGCCTAGGGCCCTGAGACCCTGCCTCAAAGGCAACTGGAATGGTTTAGGAACATACCACAGAGCTTGCCGTGCATGGATATCATTTGCTCTGGGTGGAAATGGTGAAACACTATGGGACAGAGAGGAGAAGAGGCTGGAGATGGGGGGTGATGAGGGCTCCGCTCAGAGAACCTCAAATGCAGGAAGCCAAGCGAAAGGGTGAGGAAGGGCTGCCCTGATGAGGTGAGCATCTTAAAAGCCATGCTGTACACAGCAGCTTACCAGAGGAAAAGGACCAATCAGGAAGCTCCTACCATTTATCCGGGCAAGAGACGATAGGACCAGAACCAAGCCAATGGCAAGGAGAGGGAAGAGGAAACAAATGTGGAAGGAAGATACCAGAAAGAATTGGACAAAGTGGGAGGAGACCATGTAAGAGCTTGTTCTGGGTTTTCAGTACGAACAGGGACAATTGGGAGGCACAGTCTGCCCGCAAAAAAAAAAAAAAAAAAAAAAAAAAAAAAAAAAAAAAGGACAAAGACTGCAGATGCAAGTTTGGGTCCCATCCGTAAAGAAGCAGACCTTAAAGCCAAACCCGTGTGTTCAACGTAAGAGTCAGACAGGCAAACAGGAGCTCCCTGAGAGGGGTCGGTGGGCACGGCCTCCAGCAGAGCAGTTTATTGGCATCCACCCTGCCAGCATGATCAACCAACATCCCTGGGCCGAGAACTGGCCACGATCAACCAACATCCCTGGGCTGAGAGCTGACAAAGCTTTAAAGTTTATGTCAGGCATATTGGAAAACTTGTGTTTCCAGTGGGGATTTTTTTTTTTAATCTTGAAGCTGAAAGCAAAAATAGTAAGTGGGAAGGTTTCACGGGAGCACCCCCTGGCCTTGGGAGATATAATCCCATCTGCAACTGGTACCCCCATGAATTAAAAAGCAGACCCGCCATCGTCCCTTGTTAATCTCACAGAAGGTCTCTAAAGAGTGCAAAGCTATTAGAGGATGGAGACTCCCAGTTGCTGTTTCTCAGGATGCCACCGCCAGCCAGCAGCAGAGCACTCGGAATGGAGCCTTGGGAAAACATGGGCGCATGAGCACCAGGTTTGTCATAGCTCTGGAGGACAGAATCTCACTCCGTGCATCTTAGTAATTGAAGTCTGAGGGAGGGACACACCCAGATTTTAGAAAAGGCATTTGGAGATCCTGGAGAGATGGCTCAGGAGTTAGGAAAACTGGCTGCTCTTCCAGAGGACCCAGTTCAATATCAAGCACCCAAGCTGCAGCTCACAAACCGTCCGTAACTCCAGTTCCCGGGGGACCTAACACCCTCTTCTGGCCTCCATAGGCACCAGGTACATACACATTGCACAATCGTACATGAAGTTTGTATGCCCGGGTTTGTAGTTCAGTGATAGAGCATGCATCTAGTGTATACCGGGCCTTGGATTTCAGTTCCAGTATTGCAAAAGGAAAAAAAAAAAAAAACAACTGAGTATGTGTTCTTACAAAAGCTTACATGCTCTAGAAGAAAGTACATGCAGCATTCCGAATGCGCTGTGGGATACACTGTGGCAAGCAAATGGCAAGAAAATGATGAGGACTGTATGACTCACGGGGCAGAAAATGAGGGCACCGGTGACAGAAGTCAGGAGAGAATAACCTACCACTTCCCTCCCTAAACCTCAGGACTGGAAGAAGCTCTCAGTGCAGATGACTGCTTAACCCTGTAGTTGCTGTAAGTCAGATGAAATTATTGATAAGGATCTCGAGGGGGGGGGGGATGAAGTTGCTGTGTGTCCAGCACGCAATGGTGCCAAACATAGAACGTGCTCAATACTGCAGCGGCGGAGAAAGGAAGTGGGGATTGCCAGAAATAGAAGTGATGCAGAGAGGAGCAGGGGGCACATAAAACGAGATGAGGGAGTTTAACGGTTTGCAAAGGTTCTGCGCAGTTGCCAGTGGAGGTCTGCCGTTTCGCCCGGGGTTTCCTAGCAACCAGAGCAAAAAGAAGAGAAGCATATTCAGTTATAACATTGACCGTGCCCGGAAGATAAGAAACAGAGCAGTTGCTCAGAAAAACTTGTCCTTCAATTGTCTTTTTTTTTTTTTTTTTTTTTTTTAAAGAAAAGGTTTCCCTATAGCTTTGGAACCTGTCCTGGAACTAGCTCCAGGCTGGTCTCGAACTCACAGAGATCCATCCACCTGCTTCTGCCTCCCGAGTGCTGGGATTAAAGGCATGCGCCACCACCGCCTGGCCTCTCAATCGTCTTAAGGGAGCACTCCTACAGTAAATATAGGCTGTGCTCTTGACAGCTGTGGACAGCTGTTGTTCAGTACAGCCTCTGCAGGTGATTGGCATTTTGCCAAGTGTCACTCAGTATACTTGAGCTGTCAAAGCAACCTCATAGAGATAAGAACTCTGAACGTTTAGCCGTGGTTTGGAGGGAGATTTTGTAAGACCTGGGGACAGTGATGTATAGAAGATGCTTTTCCAGCGCCTGTACCATCACTTATGGTCTAGTATGAGGTAGACACCTGATGGTGGCATGTTTTCCTGTTTGAGGTCTCTCACCTTCCCAGCAGAGCACACTGGTAAGTTTCTCTTGGTAAAGTATTTACCAAGCAACCCTGACTCAAAACAAACAAACAAAACCCAAATCACTTAACAGGGACTTGCTTACACTTTTTTTTCTTTTTTTTCCTTTTTTTTAATTTTTTAAATTAAAGATTTCTGTCTCTTCCCCACCGCCGCCTCCCCTTTCCCTCCCCCTCCCCAATCAAGTCCCCCTCCCTCGTCAGCCCAAAGAGCAATCAGGGTTCTCTGCCCTGTGGGAAGTCCAAGGACCACCCTCCTCCATCCAGGTCTAGTAAGGTGCCTAGGTCTAGTAAACTGCCTAGGCTCCCACAAAGCCAATACATGCAGTAGGATCAAAAACCCATTGCCATTGTTCTTGAGGTCTCAGTAGTCCTCATTGTCCGCTATGTTCAGTGAGACCGGTTTTAACCCAGGCTTTTTCAGACCCAGGCCAGCTGGCCTTGGTGAGTTCCCGATAGAACATCCCCATTGTCTAAGTGTGTGGATGCACCCCTCGTGGTCCTGAGTTCCTTGCTCGTGCTCTCTCTCCTTCTGCTCCTGATTGGACCTTGAGATTTCAGTCCGGTGCTCCAATGTGGGTCTCTGTCTCTGTCTCCTTTCATCGCCTGATGAAGGTTAATATTCAGGAGGATGCCTATATGTTTTTCTTTGGGTTCTCCTTCTTATTTAGCTTCTCTAAGAACCCGAATTATAGGCTCAATGTCCTTTATTTATGGCTAGAAACCAAATATGAGTGAGAACATCCCATGTTCCTCTTTTTGGGTCTGGCTTACCTCACTCAGGATGGTGTTTTCTATTTCCATCCATTTGCCTGCAAACTTCAAGAAGTCCTTGTTTTTTACTGCTGAGTAGTACTCTAATATGTATATATTCCATACTTTCTTCATCCATTCTTCAATTGAAGGGCATCTAGGTTGTTTCCAGGTTCTGGCTATTACAAACAATGCTGCTATAAACATAGTAGAGCATATACGTTTGTTGTGTGATAAGGCCTCTCTTGGGTATATTCCCAAGAGTGGTATTGCTGGGTCCATGGGTAGGTTGATCCCGAATTTCCTGAGAAACCTCCACACTGCTTTCCAGAGTGGTTGCACAAGTTTGCATTCCCACCAGCAATGGATGAGTGTACCCCTTTCTCCACAACCTCTCCAGCAAAGGCTATCATTGGTGTTTTTGATTTTCGCCATTCTGACAGGTGTAAGATGGTATCTTAAAGTTGTCTTGATTTGCATTTCCCTGATCGCTAAGGAAGTTGAGCATGACCTTAGGTGTCTTTTGGCCATTTGAACTTCTTCTGTTGAGAGATCTCTGTTCAACTCAGTGCCCCATTTTATAATTGGGTTGATTAGCCTTTTACGGTCTAGTTTCTTGAGTTCTTTATATATTTTGGAGATCAGACCTTTGTCAGTTGCGGGGTTGGTGAAGATTTTCTCCCAGTCAGTGGGTTGCCTTTCTGTCTTAGCAAGTGTCCTTTGCTTTACAGAAGCTTCTCAGTCTCAGGAGGTCCCATTTATTCAATGCGGCCCTTACTGTCTGTGCTGCTGGGGTTATACATAGGAAGTGGTCTCCTGTGCCTACGTGTTGTAGAGTACTTCCCACTTTCTCTTCTATCAGGTTCAGTGTGTTCAGACTGATATTGAGGTCTTTAATCCACTTGGACTTGAGTTTTGTGCATGGTGATAGATATGGATCTATTTTCATTCTTCTACAGATTGACATCCAGTTTTGCCAGCACAATTTGTTGAAGATGCTCTCTTTTTTCCATTGTATTGCTTACACTTTCAAAGGTTTAGTCCGTTAACGTCATGGCAGGAAGCATGGCAGCGTTCAGACAGACAGGGTGCTGAAGAAGCAGCTGAGAGTTCTACATCTGAACCCACAGGCAGCAAGAACAGAGAGAGACTGGGCCTGGTTTGGGCTTTTGAAACCCCAAAGCCCTCCCCCTCAGTGACACACTTCCTCCAATAAGACACATCTACTCCAACAAGGCCACACCTCCTAATCCCTTTTGTCTGTACATGAACACACATTTTTGTGTGCACAAAAACAGGCTGTGGGCTAACCCAGCGGGCACACTTTCAATCACTGACCAGCCCGTTAGCTAATATTCTGGAGAGCCACTGACTTTTGTTTCTCTTCACCAGCTGTATGCAAAGGTTTGACTGCGAGTCCTGTCACAGCCCACCTCCCTCCGGAGGCTCACATGTTCAAAGCCTGGTCCCCATCTGGAGGCGCTGTTGGGAGGTGACTGGACCATGAGGACACTAATCTTAACCAGTGAGTCAATCCACTGAGGAGTTCTTCCCGAGTGGGCAGTTGAGGGTGGGGCCGGGCTGGAGAAAGTAGTCACCTAAGTGCATCTGAAGGGTGTGTTTTGCCTGGCCTCTCAGTGCCTCTCGCTCTCTCCAGGTTGCCTCAAGGTGAATCATTTTCCTCCACAGGCTCCTGATGTTCTGCCCCAGGACAGAAATCCGTGAACCTTTCAGATGAAGCAAACCTTCCCTCCCTGTAAGTCCATCACCCTTCTGGGGCAACAGCGGTGAAGGCTGTTTCACACCCTCCCCTCTGGGATCCTGAATAACAGATAACCAGGCCACGCGAATGCTGGCTGTTGTGATATTAATTAGCTGTCACATTCGCTCTACCATCGGGAGTTAGCACTTCCTCGATCCTAGTGTTGGCAAGGCTGTCCCACAGTCAGGAAGTAGAAAGGAGAAGTGGGGAAGAAAGCACAGCACAGAGATTAACTAATTACACCCCTCGGCGCTAGAGAACAAAGCGAGCTACCAGGCTTAGTGCAGTGCATCCAAAGGGCATTGCAGCGTTTGATGGATACTTCCTATACTAGGCATTGTGGGTAAGTTACCAACTCACTCCCAGTGTGCGAGGGAGTTAGGTGTGTCACTCATCACGATCACAGGAGTGTGTAAGCCCTACAACACGCGGGATTGTGAGGGACGATACCTTCCTTGCCCATTGCTAGGTTCATGGCTGAGGCACCTAAAACAGAAGATAAATAATCAAGAGGAAGTCATCTAAGTGTATGTATAACTTCTCTGCGACAGCAGAGCCTTAGAAATGAAGGCGTGAAAAAACACAGAAGCCTGGGCAGTCTTATGCTGTTTGATGAATAGTGTATGGTCGTGGGAAGATAAAATGGAACAAAGACAGCAATCACACCACCAGACCTGTTTGCTCAGGTTATTCTTGCCATCTCTGTGTCTTCAGGGATCAGAAGTCCCCTTTCTTCATGGTCTAGAAAAGCACCCCTAGAATGAAACTTTTCAGACCTGCTTCAGGGGAACAGAATGAGGGGGGAAATGATGGTTTTTCCTGTTGTTTTTTTTTTGTTTGTTTGTTTGTTTTGTTTTGTTTTTTCAGATGTCAAGATGCAGAGGTGTTGTAGTCAGTGAGAGACACCATTACCAAGGCAACTCATAAAAGAAAGCATTGAGCCTTTAATCCCAGTACTTGGGAGGCAGAGACAGGAGGATCACCTAGCTAGAAGCTAGCCAGGCCTACAGAACAAGTTCCAGGACAGTCAGGGCTACAAGAAAACCCTGTCTAGAAAAAAACAAACCAAACTAAACAAACAGAAAGCTGGCATTTAATTGGGGCTTGCTTACAGTTTCAGAGATTTAGTCCATTATCCTTGTGGCAGAAAACATGGCAGCGCACAGGCAAACATGGTGCTGGAGAAACAGCTGAGAATCCTGCATCTGGATCCACAGGCAACAGGAAGAGGGCTGACCTGAGTTTTTGAAAACCTCAAAGCCCATCCCCAGCGACCCTTCCTCCAACAAGGCCACACCTCCTAATCCCTCTCCAGTAGGGCCACCCCTGGCGACTAAGCATTCAAACAGATGAGCCTATGGGGACCATACTTCTGGAAACCACTACCAGAGATAACATGTCCTGAACCTCAGGGTGCAGGCAAGTCAGCAAATGTGACCCCCCAGAAGGAGCAGAGGGAGGAGGCCTTTCACAAAGCACGTGGACCGGCCTAGTGGAGAAAATCTTCAGGGCAAGGGGACTAGCGGAAGCTTTATGAGAGAGACACCTTCGCTGGGCTAATTCAGTAGCTGGGGCTGGTAGGCGCGCAGAGAACAGGCGGGCAGCAAAGAGGAACAGGAGATTCATCTCAGCAGGAAACACGGGCCCTGTTCTGGGCAGTTAGAGCAAGAGCGGAAAGGATGAGTTAATTAGGAACTGGAGCCTGGAGCCTGGCAATTAATTGCCTGAGAGTAACAGGAGGATTTAGGGGCGGCAGGTGGTTAGGAGAGGGAAGGAGGAAGGGAGCCAAGGAAACCAAGATTCTCTGAAACGTACCGAGTCCTTCTATGTTTTGTTTTTTCTCTCTAGAACCTCCTTCCTTACCCCAGTTTTATAAACCGGGAAAGAAAGGAAAATCAATCAGGAAGTAGTTGTAGGATAAAGATCTATTGAATGCTTTATCTGCTCACCCTGTCTGTTAAGATACAGCGCGAGATTGGACCGCAAGGAGTCTCCGGGCAGGTGCGAGACAGACACATTGGAGCTTAAGTGAGAAGTTTTATTGAGAGAAGAGGAATGGGAAAAGGGGGGAGTGGGGCGGGGAGACCAGCCTCTGGGGGACAGGAGCGGAAAGAGAGAGAGAGAGAGAGAGAGAGAGAGAGACGGGGGAGGAGGGGGAGGGGGAGGGGGAGGGGGGGAGACTGGGGACAACGGACGAAGGAACAACGTAAAGACAGGGCTGATGTACAGAGCCAGGGTACTTACTACCTGCCACTCCCACGGGAGCGACGCAGGGTGCTGCACTCTGCTAGGTCCCCAGGGGGCAGGCTCAGATATGCCTGAATGCCAACACTCTCCACCAAGGCTCTCACTCTGTAGCCCAGGCTAACCTGGGAGTCATTATTCTCCTATCTCAGTCTCCGTATCACAGGAGTCTGTGAATTTGCCGTCGTGCTAGACCCAGCACCCCATCCTCAAACAGCTCCCCAAGGCTCTGCTGCCCTTGGGAACACAGGGAGTACTAAGATCAGCAGGCACACCTCACCCAGCTTAAGGAAGACGATCCTTGAAAATCCCATATGAAAGTCCCTGAGAAATAAGACTCCTTTTCCAGCGTGAGTAGATCAAGGATGTCTGTCATTTAGGACCTGGCTTCTTTAGGCCTTCTTAATTCCATCCTCGGCCTGCTGGATTTTCACCTTTAAGCTTGTTAATACAAGCCCGTTTCCTCTGGGGTTTTTAATGTTAACGAGACCACAAAAACCTTCTCATTGGCTGGAACCCGGGCTTTGATCAGTTCAGAAGGAGTCACCGTGGGAAGACAGGGTCAGTCTTGGTTACTCCCTGAGGCCAGAGTCAGGTGCTCTTAGGCCTGGGTCGCCACTGAATGAAACCAGGTTCCAGAGTCTAGAAATATATGTCTATAATTTGACATATAGCAGTTGTCTGTCCTATGGAACATCACAGGAGGTGGGGACGTGTTGAAAGAAACAAAAAACTAGAAAAAGAGAAAGCCATCAGGCAGTGGTGGCACACACCTTTAACCCCAGCATTTGGGAGGCAGGGGCAGGCGGATCTCTGAGTTCAAGGCCAGCGAGGCCAGCCTGGTCTACAGGGTACATTCCAGAATAGTCAGGGCTATACAGAGAAACAAACAAACAAAAAATCAGCCCAACAAATAATAAAAAAGGAAGGAAGGGAGGGAGGAAGGAAGGAAGGGAAGAAGGAAGGGAGGAAGGAAGGGAGGGAGGAAGGAAAAGAGAAAGTCAAAGAGGTCTCCTAAATAACTCTTGGTGGCATTTAACAATAAGAAAGGTTTTTTAAAAGCCTTTTCCATGCAACACAGCAGGCTATGGCTGGTTTACATGTCTTATGGTATCTGGGGACCTAACATAGTGGAAAGCATTAGAGACAATTCCTTTATCACTGAACTATAAAATAAGGGTGTTTCTTTTTTTTGTAATATAATTTTATATTAAAAAAAATTTCCACCTCCTCCCCACCTCCCATTTCCCTCCCCGTCTCCCTTTTCCCTCCCCCTCCTCCCACTCCTCTCCCCCC